TGTCATAATGGTAGCATTTGGTATACAGTCTATCAGTTTCAAATTTAAATATGTCTAGTTCCACTACATGTGGACCAATTGTGAATGGACTCAAATAAGAATGGTGCAATAGTGGTACAGACCTCATGGGGATTGCAATAACAACAAATTGAGGTCAGCATTGGCACTGGTTCAGAACAGCATAGACATAGAAGATGCAGAGGAGTCATCATGCCTCAATAATTACATTATTCCTGTCTGCCTTTTAGTTGTAAATATACATCTAGGCTATTTCACATTTTAGTCAGTACACAAAACTCTTGACATTTCAAATTGTTTTGAACAGACCAAAACAAATGTGGTGTTCAAGGATGTTCATGTGTGTCCCTATCAAGTTCCAAACAAGCATCAGTGAGGCTTCATGAATGCAAGGCAAGAATGGGTTGTGTTGGCAGACCCATTAGGCTTACTTTTGAAAGAATCTGAATGCAATAACAGATTTCAGGTTCAGAACACAAGATTTTCTTTTATCTAAAATGAATGGAAAGTAATAATATTGTCAATGAAAAATTATGGATTAATTAAATGACCAATGTATCCTTCAGGGTACACTTTTTAAATAAGTCACTAGGTGTTCTTAGCTACTCAGAGGCCTTTTTGCAATATGTAGGTCAATGTAATTCCTATGAATTATTAGGGGTTTTTAACAACAACACCATTCACTTCCCAACATAAGATACAACAGCTTCTATCACATAAGTCAATAATTATTGTTTAAACTTCCTGCTATTATGTATCATTCGTGACACTGCCTCAAGCTGGTACATATGCACTTTTCAGTTTTTTGACAGGTGCGTATAATAACAGTGAATGATTGTTAGTCAACTTACATTTCTAAAGGTACTGGTTTCCTGACATATCTTCCTGTCATCATCATATTCGATTTCTGTCATATGTTACTGCCCTGCACAAGGTCATATCAATGTGATGTTTGCACATCTTCATCAAATTCTGAAATGACAGTGACAATATTTCGATGACAGGTGTAATCTAGAATAACTTTACGCTTTGCAGTAAATAAACAACATTGTTTTACGATCATGACAATATGAACAATAAAAGAAATATCAGAATAAGAAGGGGAAATCCCACAAAAAAGTACCTATTTTCGTCATGTAAGCAGGTATTTCTGTTTTTCGTAACACATTATTGAACTGTCATTCTCAATGTTGGCGACATCCAAACAAACAAAATGGCGGTATTTTTTATCCCAGAATTCCCCAAACTTATCCTCTGCTCATGCGTACAAGGTGCGACCGCATAGATCATTGAAAATATCCCGGTTTCAGGAAACGTTGCTTAGTTACTATGTAAACTTAATCGAAGCACGTGTTTCTTGTTGTGTAAAATCCTATTTCTCAGTTTTCGTAATTTCATATTTTCATTGTGATTAGTGAGGTAACTAAAAGAAATTAACTCGAAAACAAGAAAGCATTCTCCTTTTCGTGTTTTTACATGAAGGATGTTAAACTTTTTTTCTTATATGTTTTTTTGGTAAAAGGAGTTAATGTCATAGTAGAAAATGCAAAATTTGTGCTATGATCGGTCAAAGATACCAATTTAACACAACATGTGATTTTAGGTGATTTTTGGGGTTTTGACCATTTGCAGAACAAATTCATACAATTTCTTCCAAGTGTGTTATCAGATATGTATGTATATTTGTAGAATAGAAGAAAATATTTTTTTCTTTTAAATTATGAAAGTAAAATTTCTTAATCTTATTCTTTTAACTCAGAAAGCCGATTTAAGTTACCCCTACCCCCTATTTTTTACCATTTCTTTTACAGATTAAACGCTTGATATAAAAAGTTCTGGTATTTAACTTTTTTTAATATTTAATGATTTAAATGAAAATGTGTTTCTCTTTCTAAAACATCTACAAAAATGGGGAGTCAGTGTGCTTCTTTTTTTGTCCCATTATCATTTGTGTTATTTTTTACTTTTTTCGGGGTCAAAAATCAAAAGTGTTTCAGTTACACTAAATACGTAAAAAAAATATCAATAATGTATAATTTTCCAGTTTGTTGCATATTATTTTTATCATATTGAACATTATAAAGTTGTACAGCAAAATTGAACCTGCTACAATTAAAAATGGCGACACAATGACAATTTCAGTGAAGTTTTGGCCTTTTTTGAAGCACAAGAAATGCACATTAATACACATTTTCAAAATGGCCACCGAATTGGTAATTTTTTTAAATTCTTGTAAAAAAAGTTCTACAAACAACAGGCATCTAGTTTTTTTGACATATTTTTCAGATGCGTGTTTGCTAATAAACTTGATCACAATTTGTCAAATATTAAAAAAAACACCATTACAACAGATCAAAACGAGACTTGAACGTGTTTGAAACATCAGAAGAGTACATCCTTAAGGTGGCAGTACCAAAATCGGATCAGTACCAGGCCAAATCGGATCACTTTTTGATGCGGACAATCTAGATATTTTAAATCATATACAGTTTTGACTATAAAAAATCACGCTTCGTTTACATTGCGTCTATGATATTTGGACAATAACCATCGATGGATGTCTGAAAAAATGTGTAAACTAGATTAAGAGGCATCGCAACAATCTCTATCGAGATTTCCAATGATGGAGGATTAATGTGATTTCTGTGATAGACAGCTGCCAATGTAAACTGACCAAAAATAAAATATATAAATATAATGGCCGGAATGTATCAAAGTTGACACCACTGACTGGACCTTGAGGGGTAAATATATAGTAGTATATATCAGCGTAGTTATACATATATATAAAAAAAAATGATAATTAAAAAATGCTAAAATTATAACTAAATTCAGTTTTTCCTTTAGCTTACTTATGATTATGATCGTCAAAAGTACAATTTATACTTTCAATAATTAAAATTGCAAGTTTAGCAGTTTTGAAAAATTGCAATTTGGACCTTAAACATATCTATAAAACGTATATCATGTTTTAATAACTTATGTAACGTATCTGTTGGACTAGCTCCCCGGTTCCGACCACCATAACAGTGGTATAAAAGTTGTAAAAAATGTCTCCGCCATCCTATATTGTTATACTGATTGCCTGCAGCAGAGAGGCGGTGCCCAGCAGTTGAAATAAAAGGAAAAGCCAAATCCCTGATCAGTATAGTTGGTAAAATAATTTGATCTGGAAACGGGAAATGGAAAATGAATATATAAACGAAGATTGGAAAATGAATATATAAACGAAGATTGTTACCCAAACACAACCCCTTTTTTGCAGGGGGGGGGGGGGGGGGGGTTATCTAAATCCATACTCCTGCAGTATTGTAATCTTTTTATGGTAATTTTACTGTAACAGATCTATTAATCAAGGGGACTCGGCAGTAATTAGTAACCGAAGTGTATTCGTCTCTTCATGCCTAACAATTGTATGGTTATAGCGTGGGGATCTCAACTAGTTCCATGTAATGACGAAGGGAGAAGGTCCCCAGACAGGGGTGGGACTCGGTTCCAACGCAAGTCTAGTAGCATGGGAATGCGACTAGAGGATGGGGATCCAACTGTTTCCATGTTATGACCCAGATGGTGAGGAAGTCCAGGGGGTGGGGACAAAACAAGGGCCAGCTTTTGCAGGCCCGCTGCATGTTGGTAAAGGCAACTAATGTGGGAACCCACTGCAAAAGTGTGTCTTTACTTTTGCGCCCTCTAAGCGACTACAATAAATAACAACCTTTGGTATCTTAGTATTTTCTCTCTATACGTCCAACTTAACTTTTTTGTTTTATATCGCCTTGTTTGCAGTACCCCACTTTTGGTCTTAGGGTTGAACATTTGCCAAAGTGAGGAAGGCAATGGGTTCTGTAATTTTTGACTTGAATCTCATGTCTCGAAATCCTATATCCATAGATGGGTTCCTTACTACACAAGATTTAATTCATGATCCGCATAACCCGTGGAGTGGTTTTCTTTAATTGTTTTGCACATCCATTCTGATATCCTGTTGCATTGCCAGCTCCGTCGTACTGGTGTCGAACACAATGTTTGATCCAGTGTAAGTTGGCTTTGTGCATTCTAAAGGGTGTGATTTCATATAGCCTGTGTAGCATTCAATGTACTGTACCAGTCTTTCTGCGGGCTGACCGCCCCAGATCTAACTTTCCTCGTACGATATGCAATCTTTTGAGTAGCTCAATTTGCTTCAACTCATTTGAACTCGGTGCCGTCATTTGTTTCTTCTTATTTAAATGAACTTTTACACAATTTAGGATATATGTAGTTTTGTGCTATTTGATATATATGATGCCTTCCTATTCCAACTTTCCAAGTGGTTCTGTAGAATCAATCCGAACCTCAGTTACAGCGGTCTTTACAGTTATGTTTGCCTTGATGAGCGTCATTGGTCAAAGGTCAATGTCAATGTTAGGATTAATGTGTTTTTTTTTTAGCAAAATAGCTTGTAATAGATTGCTTCACACATATTCTTGCCTTCGGCATACCTTTTATTTTCCAGTTTCCAGTCCCCGAGAGCTCGCGAAGGAAAACATTATCAATTTAAGGATGAAAGAGTTGCTTCCCTTCTAACGAAAAGTATTTTTTTTTTTAATTTGATAAAAAGAAATCATCTTTAAATTTTTTCATACTAAATATAATATGCGATATAAAATGATAGCACCAAATAAAATTCTATCGACCAGGGATGTGTACACATCCCTGTATCGACATAACAAAAAAAAATGAAAAATTAAATCGCCCAACGTGGGGCTCGAACCCACGACCCCGAGATTAAGAGTCTCGTGCTCTACCGACTGAGCTAGCCGGGCACATACTATCTTAACGACCTTTCCTTTTTTATATTTGTAAACTTATTAAGAAAATGTCATTAACTTAGTATTTTCCTTTATTAAAGGTTTTATCAAGTCACTAGGTATCGAGCAAACCGTTTACTTGTTTTTCATAGTTTTATATATTTTGACTTCTCACCGAAAAAAATCCTTTGAAATAGAGAGGTTACGAATGGATCAGTTCGCAACACGATGTTGTTTGTTGTTGGGCGCGAATGTAATGTGGTAAAACTTTATTTTTGACGGTAATGGGAAATCGCGACGGTAAATGCACATATTGCCTCTGGGAGTTCTACTTCTGGCTCTGTAGATTCTGGGGAATTATAACATGTATTGGTAAGTCTTGGTTCACATGTGGAACTACGGAGTCTGAGAACATGTGACGGACATGTTATGGTGTGGTCTATCACGCCACTTTTTCCGTTCATTGTATTGGCTCAGAGCCAATTTGATAGTTTGTTTACGTTTTCGAGTAAAAGGCATCATTGTCAAACAGGCTTTATTTTCAGTTTTAAAGTAACTCATAAATACTTATGTTGACATAAATATGATTTTTTTCTCTTAGAATAACTGACAGTTAAGTGCCTTATTTTTCTTCAAAACTGTAGTTACTCGGCCGTGAAAGTCGTGACATGCTTTTCTCGCTGATCCGATATGCTTTATGTTGTCACCTGTTAGTGTTCGTTGAACTACATTTAGACAGAAAACGCCTTTCATGAGAGACTGGTATATCATATAAAGGTGGCCTAATCGTAATCACATTCTTCCAAAACATGTAGAACTATAAATTCAACAACAGTTGTCAAGTTTAAAAAGATGATTGCATTTTAGTCTCTTTATTGACATGTACATATCTGTTCAGAGCAGACCACTTTTCACACAATTACTTCTTAATGTGAATTACTTCTTAATGTGTCCACAGTTCTTGTTTTATAATCATCAAGTCTGAGAATAGATCGAGATTAATATAGCGGTGCTTTTTTTATGCAGTAATGCATTGCATTTCCATTTTTGATGCATATAATGTGTTATGTGAAGGTAATTAAAACTACTCAATGTATATATTTTTAACTGGTCTTATTTTAGGTGCTTTAACTATTGCGTTAGATATAATAGCCCTTATCAGTATTTCTGTAAATAATCACTTATAGCTTATATTATACAATTAATGCATATATTTGGTATTTTGGGTGTGTCAATTTATTTTATCATTGTGCTATGATCATGATAGAGTGTGCTGAGATAACTTAATTTACGTACAGTATCGGTTGGTTATATTTTGCTAGTGATAATATATATCACCTGCTTTAAAAGAAAATCTTATAAATAGAATAATTATTTTGTCAACATACAAAGTTTTAGATATATTGAGGAGTGTTTTTGAAGAAGGACAGGAGTCAACCAGTCAGATCAATATCTCGTTATCTAATGATGCCATTGTTTTATAAATATAACTTAAATGTATGCCTGGGTGTATATTTGACCTTCCATGACCCAATTTTCCTCAAATTCTTGCTGAAAATGAGTGTATATATATAGGATTCATAGATCAGAGCTTTCAGTTCAATCTTGGCATTTAGCAAGTTAAAAAAATATATTTACATTTGCATAGCATCGTCACTATATAGCCTCTTTGAAAGCTGTGTCGTTGATGGGACTTTAATTCCCATGCATCACGAGACATAATTCTTAGCGTATTAATACACCACTGATAACTGGAACTACAATATCCAATATAAATAAACATGACGGCTGCTGAAATATCGAAATCTCACAATGCCATTGTAAATTTATTTGCAAAATAAAATAACAAACACTTTTATTACAACGAAAACAAGACCAATGTCTGCAATATCGTACAAAATGCACATCGCTTGAAATCACCAATGCCGGCAATGGAAACAATTAAAACGCTCATGCAATTTATCAGAAATATCGTCTGTTACACTGCACTGATCAACAGGGGTTCGTTACAAATGTCTGAAATACACATATTCTATAGACCTACTGACACATATGTTACAAACCTACTGATCATCCACCATTCCTCAGTTTCTGACGACATGTCAAATAACGAGGATGTTATAGAATCTAACGACTGTTTTCAGGTTCCCATACAATCAACAAATAAATTCACGCCTGGATTCTTCACAAAATGAGCAAAGAGAAAAGTTTGAATTAACTTCCAAAAATAACTACCTCGTGGAGGGCAAGGTCGGATTTACGGTGTTCACTGTATTTGTTCATGCGCGAAATTTGTTCCGGGGAAAAATCGAAACAATTTCAAATCTAACTTTCAGCTCAGAGTTTTATTGATAAACTTAAATCACACAGCTTTGCAGCAAACAAATCATAATGCGCTAGCACGCATTATGTTGTTTGCTTGCAAAGCTGTGTCATTCAAATAGATCATAAATACCATACAAAAACAGTTCAATGCTTAAATATGTCTTTTTAAAAACTCTTAAGAGTCAAAGCTTATTTTGCGTAGTCAAAAAATTCTCTCAAGGGTAACGGTATATTGAAATCCCATTGAAATGAATTGTTTTGTACTTGCATTGTAATTGATGTTTTTTTTTTTACATGTACCTGCAGTTCTATGGGGAATAGGTGTAGAGGAAGCCTTCTATGGTCGATATGTTGGATTCATTCTTTTGTAAGTATCAACAGTGCACAGGTGATCAAACCAGGTAATCGTGTAGCTGTATTGGGTGTTTCTGACCAGCACCCATGCTAGCTAATCTGCTAGCGCTACATCCATTGCGTAGCTGAACTGGGGGTTGGTTTGATCGCTGTGATCAGAAATCTCAGTTTGATGGCATCCATTTTGATTGTGAAGGATCTTTACACAACTCTTAGAGAGTTTAAGAAATACATATTTGATTTCACATTTGATTTGTGACTTTCATTCAAATACAAAGTATAGATTTCTTTAGATCTGGATGTTGCAAATTTTATGGCCAGACATCAATAAAAATGACCTGTAAAATTTTGGTAAAATACTCTTGGATACACTGTATCATAAAAATATAAAGAAAAATTAAATGTACCATTAAACCTAGGTATCTGTAATTTGACGAAAAAATGTATGACATATTGATCATTTGTTGGCCATGTATTAATTGATACTTAAAGAAACTCCTACAATAATGTTAAGTGTATATACTATAGAATTAACTTGTATGAATGGATATAACCGAAAACAGTTATGTTAATTATCCTTCATTTGATATCTTAATATACCCATTAGTACATACCAGAATGTCATTTAAAGAATAATGTATGATTTGTTAATTTTTATTTTATTATTATTTCAGAGCTGAAGCTGTGATTGTAACTTTTCTAGAGGTTGTGTTTTTCGTTGATTTTTGTGTGAAAATATTAAAAAGGTGAGTGTTTGGATTTTGACATGCACACAATGATTCAATGTGTCAAAAGAGCAGTGTTATACTTTTGTATCGTACCACTCGTAGAAATACTTCATCTACACAGTATAAGATTGTACCACTTAGTAGAGATGCATCATCTACACAGTATAAGATTGTACCACTTAGTAGAAATACATCATCTACACAGTATAAGATTGTACCACGTAGTAGAAATACATCATCTTCACAGTATAATATTTACCACTTAGTAGAAATACATCATCTACACAGTATAAGATTGTACCACTTAGTAGAAATACATCATCTACACAGTATAAGATTGTACCACTTAGTAGAAAGACATCATCTACAGAGTATAAGATTGTACCACGTAGTAGAAATACATCATCTTCACAGTATAAGATTTACCACTTAGTAGAAAGACATCATCTACACAGTATAAGATTGTACCACTTAGTAGAAATACATCATCTACACAGTATAAGATTTACCACTTCGTAGAAAGACATCATCTACACAGTATAAGTAATTATTTTTCACATGCTTAGTTTTGGTTTATCTAACTTGTGTTTATAGTTAATCTTCAAATTTTATAAAGACACAAGGTTTATCGAGTGTCTTTTACAATTTGAAAGTTAACTAACGATAGTTAGATAAATGTGATAACCAACAATCACTCGTTTGGGAACCTGTTTCACCCACAGCATTCATATTTTATCTGAAAACCCACCTTTTCCCATTGAAAAATACATTATGTGTGTTTTCGATGGGGGAAACAATTGCCATGGAACATGACGTCAAAATGGAAAATGATGTTGAAAAGCATTGATACGTGTCGTCATAAATTCATGATTGACCAATGAAATCACGTCCAGGGTGTTACCCACTAGTGGATATCCAAAAATGTTTACCAACTCCTTCCAGGTTTATCTAACGAGCCATGAGTGAGGAAACCTACAGTGGTTGTGGGAGAAACAAGTTTTGAAAACTGAACAGAATATATATGTATAATGCACTTTTATGTTGATTTTCACAGCTTTTTTCTTAGGGAACTCAAATAACATCCATGAAACTGAAAATCTTTTAAAAGCAATACATAGTTTCTTTTAATTATAAGCAAGTGATATATATGGAAAGATGTATATGAAAACCCAGACTTGTACTTCCTGGGATCAATCTAGACTTGATTCATTACCGTTTATGGGTAGTTTCCCCTACAGAAGAAAATTCCCCTGTTCTTTGAAATTCCCCCTATGTGCTTCAAATTTTCCCTGTTTTTACAAGAAAATAGCATTTTTCCCTATATGTTTTATTTAAAGTCAACAGTTGCATAATACTGCATATATACATTTTCTTCATATAATTTTTTAAAAATCTACAATTTTAAGCTTAAAAGCGATTATAAATTGAAATATACTGCACACATGTATGTTGGACAAAACATTTATCTTTTACCTTCATGACGCTAAAGCCTTGTATCAAAATTTTTAATTTCCCCTAAGTCTGAAAAACCTAGATTGATCCCTGACTTCTCTGTAGCTATTATATATAAATATGTGATAGCTCCCTGTATTTGTAATAAGTCATGGCATACATGCTACCAGCTATACACCTACCGGTATCAGACAGGGGTGTACAATTTCACTATAGCCTGACACAAAGGGCTAGTAGATTTTATCGCTGTCCTGCAGAAATCTGTTACATTTGTTATAATATTTGTCTAATTTTTCAAAACTTGCTGGCACTGCTGTAAGTGCTGACTTGACTCTGAATATGAATATGAAATTGTACAAAGGATTTTACATCCCATTTTGGCTTTAAGGGTCCTTGTGACCCCTTTGGTTGAAAATGGGGTCCTAGATAAATATTTGAGGTCCTCATAAATGACAATTTTCAGTTTTCATTGCTTTAAGTCAATTTGGAGAGTGGAATTTTTGAAGTTGTCATTTCAGGGGGTCATGTGGCAACATGTTTCACATTTTAGGGATCCTGTAATAGAAAATGGGGGGTATTTGAAGTAAAACCCTGTGTAATAAAATTGAGTACCTAGGTAGTGGCAGAACAGTGAAGGTGATTGTTGTTTTTCTTTACAACAATAATATGACCTGTTTTGTTTTTTAACTTTTTCAGTGGTGATGATGAAGAAGAATCTGCTTCCTGTTGTCTTAAAATGTGGGCGTGTGTTTTATGGATAGACCATTGGAAGAAAGGAGTGCTTTATTTGCTTTTAGCTGTGCCATGTTTTATAGAGCCTCACGATGCCTGGTTAGCCATTATATCAGGTATGTCGTAACAGCCTATTTACAGCCTGATTAGCCATTATATCGGGTATTTCGTAACAGTCTATTTATAGCCTGATTAGCCATTATATCGGGTATGTCATAACAGTATATTTATAGCGTGGTTAGCCATTATATCAGGTATGTCGTAACAGCCTATTTATAGCCTGGTTAACCATTATATTGGGTATGTCGTAACAGTATATTTATAGCCTGGTTAGCCATTATATCAGGTATGTCCTAACAGCCTATTTATAGCCTGATTAGCCATTATATCAGGTATTTCGTAACAGTCTATTTATAGCCTGATTAGCCATTATATCGGGTATGTCGTAACAGTATATTTATAGCGTGGTTAGCCATTATATCAGGTATGTCGTAACAGCCTGTTTATAGCCTGGTTAGCCATTATATCAGGTATGTCGTAACAGTATATTTATAGCCTGGTTAGCCATTATATCGGGAATGTCGTAACAGCCTATTTATAGCCTGGTTAGCGTTGTAACAGTATATTTATAGCCTGGTTAGCCATTATATCAGGAGCCATTATATCGGGTGTGTTGTAACAGTTTATTGATAGCCTTGTTAACCATTATATCAGGTATGTTGTAACAGTATATTTATAGCCTGGCTAGCCATTATATCAGGTATGTCGTAACAGCTTTTTTATAGCCTGATTAGCCATTATATCGGGTATTTCGTAACAGCCTATTTATAGCCTGGTTAGCCATTATATCAGGTATGTTGTAACAGTATATTTATAGCCTGGTTAGCCATTATATCAGGTATGTCGTAACAGCCTATTTATAGCCTAGTTAGCCATTATATCGGGTATGTTGTAACAGTCTATTGACAGCCTGGTTAGCCATTATATCAGGTAAGCGTAATAGTATATTTATAGCCTGGTTAGCCATCATATCGGGTATGTTGTAACAGCCTATTTATAACTTGATTAGCCATTATATCAGGTATGTCGTAACAGTATATTTATAGCCTGGCTAGCCATTATATCAGGTATGTCGTCACAGCCTATTTATGGTCTGGTTAGCCATTATATCAAGTATGTCGTAACAGCCTATTTATAGCCTGGTTAGCCATTATATCAGGTATGTCGTAACAGCCTATTTATGGCCTGGTTAGCCATTATATCAAGTATGTCGTAACAGCCTATTTATAGCCTGGTTAGCCATTATATCAGGTATGTCATAACAGCCTATTTATAGCCTGATTAGCCATTATATCAGGTATGTCGTAACAGCCTATTTATAGATGTCAACCCGTATAGCCATTGACTTGAGTTTTTGGAACTCATAATTGTTAAATTCAAATTTTAAACATGTAGCGTTATTAAGTAAGTTAAAGATGTTAAAAAATAATGAAGTACCAGGTAGTTTTGAATTTCCTTATTTTACATATAAGTGTTATTGTAATAAATGTTGAAAAAGTGAAAGGAGATGACATGTTATCAGCTATAAACATGTATATGTAAAACCCATATATAACGTTTAGATAATTTAATGATGGCAGTCAAGGTGATGTTTTTATACTTCTTGACCTATATAATGAAAAACATGATACACATGAATGATACCTTAAGTAGTGATATCAATTTGAGTTATTTTTATTTCTATTATACATTAATGGGAGTAAAAAGCCTCCAATGTCTTAATTAATGTTGAAGTAAGGTGTCTAATAGGTATACAGGAATTGAAAATTAGCATAGAAAGACTACATTTTAAATGCAGAAACTCTTTAGGTAAGTGTTTATACTAGTAAAACATTTTAGAGGTATTCATAGTGTCTTTGTGCAACACTAAAAATGACTTGAGTGTTTGTTTTTTCTTCAAAGGAATTTCTGTTTAATTTGATATTCATTAGTTTTAAAATTCTCAAATTCCATATGTTTTAGAAGTCTCAGAGATTGAACTAAAATTATATTCTATTATGAAAAATATGCATGTTTAAATTGCCATATTTTGTTACTGAAGTTGACATTACTGTAAATCAAAATGGCCTTTCCAGATGGATAAACATGTTTGTTTTTGTCATTTACACAAGTCCTTATGAAATATAAATGTAAAGAAATAAAAAAAAATAATAAAAAAAGTGAACCGAAGGTGAGAAAACTTTTCAAGTATCTAGAGTGCAACCTCAGATATTATGGTAAATAAATATTGGGAAAAGGTGAAGTGAGAGGAGTTGCAGGTTATTAAACTAGTTACTGTGTATACTATTTATCACTAAACTCTATTGTTTTTGTGTGTTACAGGTTACAGAGTATTCAGGTTATATTAACTTGTTTGGTCTGTTATCATTAGTTTTATGCAAAGTGTATTGTGTTCGTGTGTTACAGGTTAGAAGAGATTATTCAGGATTTAAGTTATCATTAATTTTATCACTAGTGTATTGTGTTTTTGTGTTACAGGTGTCATGCTGATGATGAGTGCTATATTTTATATAATTAAAACATTTGGGAGCATGAATGAGGAAACTCACCAAAAGCTGCCTCAAGAAACAACATATGATAGGTAAGGTCACTGTATAATGATGTAAGGGAATGGTTTTAGGCCTGCTAACCCTTACACTGCCCTGTGGTAATAAATCCTGTTTTATCGCGGTAGGACCAGTTGGACCAGAGTTGTTTATGAAATAAGGTCGGGCCTAGTAATCTGATGCTGCTTTCAGGCAATCCTTATCAAAGCCTTGCAATGCCTGCATAAACATTTGCAGGTCAGTCAGGATTTATACCGAAAATGTTTCTTTAAAAAACGTCAAATCGGTTGTTAAAGATTTTTAAAACATTTGACCCCAGTGACCTTAAAAGTGGGTCAGGGTCATTTCATTTGAACAAACTTGGTAGCACTTCACCACAGCATGCTACTTTGGGCCAGGTGAGCTAAACATCTTTAAACATTTTCAATAACCAACAGGCCCATCATTGTGATTTTTGGCCAGTAGCTTAATTTAGCCCATTCAATATTTTGTTTCCCATTTAAATATTTTTGCCCTTGGTTCCCTTTGAAGTTTACTGGTGTAAAATGTGACATCTATTACATGGAGCTACACCTTGTAATGTGTTGAACTGTTGTTGTTGTCCACAGGTTTGATGATATCCAGGAAGATTTGGAGGATAACATATTGAATCCCATAGATGATGGAGCTATAGTGTGTGTGGCTGATCAACAAGAGATCCTGGAACTTTAAATATGTCTACTGTCTACTCTTTGTGCTAGTATAGTTAATTACTCTTCACATTGCATTCCTTTGCATGTGTGTTCAGAAAGTGCTTGTTGGTTATCTCCCTTGTTAGTGCTTGCGTCCATCATGTGTGGTTGACAACATCATCATCATTGTGTGTGTTTTTTGGTGAGAAAGTGTGATAGTCTTATACAATGAAGCTAAGTCATAAAGATCACAATTTTACTTCAGTGCAAGCCATTCTTTTGGCAACCTTTAATTTAATTTAAACAAACATAATCTCCACATATCTATATACGGACCCTAAAAATAAGTTTGCTACAACTGGACAGAATTAGTTACAGAATTAGATGTATCTAAGACAATTCTTTGACACAGAGTATAAATGTGACATCAATATAAAAAATCAGCGTGTCTGTAGTGAGTTGTACACATTAATATCTAGGAGTACGAGTGTTTTTAATATCACTATTTACCACGGGCATTGAACAAAACCTGAATATCGCTGTATTTATCTCGGGCATCGAACAAAACCTGTTGTTTGATATTTTATTCGTTTTAATAACACAAATACCATTTTTATGCTTTAATTATATGAATGTTTGGCTGTGTTTTAGATCAGTACTGTGTAGGATGAACATGTGTGTTACAAATGTATCTTAATGTCGAACAAATATGAATCCAAATCATGAGATACTTAATACAATTTATCACCGTATCATAGCAACGACTCATATCATTTACATTCTGAGTATTCTCCTAGATCACATTACATATTAAATGTTTATCAGGTTATTTTTCAAATAATTTTAAAATCAAATTTTAGCATCTGAATTTCTGGTTCTGTAGTGATTTACTTTTCCATCTAGTCAAAGCAGATGTAATATTTTTTATTTCATCACCTGGAAAGACTTGCAAAAATCCTGATCTACATTAAATTTGCTCCATCAATAAAATCGTGATTAATTATTCATAGTATGCCAGCTGTATTTCAACATCCTCACGAAGTGTATTGTATGATTACCAGGGTTAAGTCTGTGTTATTACCAGGGTAAAGCGTGTAAGGAATCTCTTCCCAGGATTGAAGTGTTCATTTTTACTGTCAATGAGATTGTGTATTTTTGTATTTAATGTTACAACACTTTTGATTTTTTTTTTCCAGATATGAAATAGTTTACAAATCAAAACCTTAAACTACAATACCGCTACGGTTTTCTGTAATATCAACAGTGGTGGTAGTGTTTATTTCTCATGTTTACCAAGATTTTCTGTAATATCAACAGTGGTGGTAGTGTTTATTTCTCATGTTTACCAAACAGCCATTGAAACTTCTGTATCCTAACAACGACTAATACATCAAGTGCCCCAAGTTATCAAAACCAACTTTACCTACATCTCGGTCAGAATTGAGTATATAATTAAATGTATTTATAAAACACTTTATTTTCTATGATCTGTGTCCACTGATAAAGAATCTCTAACCATTTTGGATTTTAATATAAAAATTATGAAGTTTGTTGTTGTTTAAAACCTATTTATTTATATATTTCACTTTTGCCTAGGATTTGTGTATAAGTTACTATTTACTACAGCGCTAAGTTTTTCTGTCAGCATGTGTTTCTTTAGTGTAACTTGTGCCTATTATCATCATATTGATCTTTGATCTGTCCAAGAATAATGATCACCAAATGAGTAATATTGTAATATTTTTGCTTTTCACATTAGAAGTGCAGTTTGTATTGTTGTGCCTTACAAACCATTACTGGTAGCTTCAGCAACGACCACAATGTGGGTACCTAAAGGGCCGCTACGTCCCTTGGTATTCAGGATAAGTGCCTTGCTGATGTTCCATTCAAGGATCCCTGTCCCATTGCAGAAAGAACATTAGAGAATTCCACTATTTTTTCATACATACAGTAGTCTCCCCTTAATTTCATTTTGGATATCATTAGCTGGGCTGGGTCAGGAAACCACTGCGTACAAGGTAACTATGTTAGAGCAACAGTATTGTGATCGGAGGTCTAGGGTTTGAATTTTGGTCTGGCCCCACTGCTTTTTTATTCTCCGAATACTGTTATTGATAAATATATTTCATCTTTATTATTTGTTCATAAAAGTTTACACAAGTATGGGTTTCTTTTCAATTTAAGAGATGATTTATTAAAGCAACTGTCATTCAGGTAGTTTTTCGGCAGTGGTACAGGGATTATATTATGATGCTTTCAGTTGTGTAATTAAAACAGTAAGCTTAATCAAGAATAGAAATGTTCAGCAGTAATGAACAACGTATTAGAATGCCTCTTCAATACCTGTGATCGTATATATAGAAATATTAAATTTGGAAAATGGAATGTCTTGTGAATAAATTTTTTACAAGAATATTTTTTTCCCCTGTTATTTTTATTACATATTTGTCTGGGACAGGCCAAATTATGGTAAAACTGTCATTTTCCTGTCCGTTTATTATTATACCCCAGCTTCGACGAAGTCGGGCTCATCAGGACAACCTTAACTTGACTGTCTACTCGGGTGTTCGCAGAGAGGGTATATAGTGTTTGATTTGTGTGTCCGTCCGTCCGAAAGGTTTCCAAAGTATATCTTGCTTACTATTTCACCTAGGGTTATGAATCTTGGTTTGTGGGTACATGCTTAGAAGGCGGTGTGTTGTGTACCATATGTAGGTCACTGTGACCTCTACCGTGACCTCTGACCTACATAAGGTTGTCAAAGAGGTTGCTGGAGCATATCTCCGGTACTATTTCACCTATAGTTATGAATCTTGGTTTGTTGGTACATGCAGGGAAGGCGGTGTCGCGTACCACATGTAGGTCACTGTGATCTCTAACCTACATAATGTTGTCGGAAAGGTTTCTGAAGCATATCTCCCTTACTATTTCACCAACAGTTATGAATCTTGGTTTATGGGTACTGCATGGAAAGTGGTGTGTCGCGTACCATATGTAGGTCACTGTGACCTCTACCGTGACCTCTGACCTACGTAACGTGAAACTTGCAGCATATAAACTCTTCACTTGATTCTTCCAATCCACATGCCCATCACTCCCACCAATTCCTGATCAATCAAAGCAGGGGTATTCCCGAAGGCTCCCCCTTCAAGTTAAATCTAGTTTCATATCCATTCGATAACCTTCCAAAGTATTATCAGATTTCAATAAAGCAGCATTTGTTTATAATGATCCAAACAGTTGGACCAGAGTTGTTCGTTTATGAAACAAAGTTGGACCTAGTAAACTGATGCCGCTTTCAGGCGAGCCTCAACAAAGCCTTGTAATGCCTGCATAAATATTTGCTGATCCATCAGGATTTATACCCGACAATGTAACATTTAACAACTGACAAACCGGAAAGGGGCCTCAATGTTGGTCAGCAGATACTTATTTAGAACTTAGAGGCTTAGTTTGATAATGAGCAGAATTTATGAATATCTGGTCACACAAGGCACACCGATACATTAGTTCATTCCGCATCATTGGATTGCAATGAAGATTTGACAAGCATACTCCATTGTTGTACAACCTAATAGTGCAGTTTGTCCCACAGAATTGTTTCCCTAAAAATGAATGAATTTAACAAAACATACTTGGCCGATATACTTGGTCATATTAGAAAGCCAAAGGCAACGAGTGATGCCCTTTACAAGAATTTTGTCCCTTTCCACCGACTTCTTTTGGCTGTATCTTGGCCACGATGTGACCTGCTCTTTATTTTTTGAACACAGGGACCTCAAGTGACCTCATTTTACAATGTGTTAATATTCATAAGATTCTCTTAACACATCATAATCTCAACACAAAATATGTTTGAAAACTAGGACTGGTTGTGGTGACAAGGTTATGTAAACAAAGGGACAGTACAAGCACTTTATGTATACTAAGTACTCCACTTTTTGTTGGGTTTATTAAAGGGCCATTTCATTAACTGTACATACACTGAACACTTGTTACAAAGTATGGGAGAATTTTAAGTTGGAGGTTTTTTCATAATTACAGCACGATACCATCACCAAGCCTGAATGACACCTTCCCATCAATACATTGAAATTATTGAGCTTCTCAACCTTATGGTCATTTTTTGGATTAAACTAAGCAAACAGGTGGATGTAACATTCTTGTATGTCTTACAATGGTGTATTATATCAAACTAGAACTGTAAGCCAAAGCATTGCAAAGCAATCCAGTCTTCCACCAGTTATGATTTCTTTATTGACGGAGCTGTACATTTATTTAAGTATATAGGTCACTGACATACTTGCTGTACTCCCTCCCAATGCCAAAACATACTTGCAAACCAAATCTTGTTAGCCCAGATGAACAAATTTTGCTGAAATCATCATAGTAGTTAAGGAAGAGATGTCAGGACAAAGATTTTTAACAAAGGGCCATAACTCCTTAAAAAGGCTAGAATTGAAACAAGGGCCCAGAGGGAGTGTATCACTCACCTGTTCCTTTTGTTACATGAAACTGACATATAGGTAACTTCAGACCGAATTTGGTAACTAGAACACAAGACATTTTAACATCTCTTAAAAGGTTCTTTAAGATATTGTTGTTTGAAATTTTACTTTTAAAGCTTTTAACCCACATTGACCTTTAACTCCAGCTAGCACTTTAAGTTGACCTTTGACCTCATTACTGTAATGAAGAAAAAGATTTGCACTGCTGGTCTTCATAACATACCCAAATGTCACGACTCTAGTCCAGATGGTTCTTAGGATATTGTTGTTCAATGTTTTTAACATATTTGACCCTTGTGACCTTGAAAGTAGGTCAAGGTCATTTTAATGAGAAACTTTATAGCACTCCATCCCAGATACCTAGTTGCAAAATATCATGACCCTAGGTCCTCCAGTTCTTCCAAAGAAGTCGTTCTAAAAGAAAAAGTTGATGGACGGACGATGGACTACCTACCATATCTGTAAACCTTCATTGAAATCGGCCCAGTAGGTTAAGAGAAGCTGTCAGGGAAAGAATTTTTGAACAAGGGCCATAACTGCATAAAAATGGGTTGGGAAAAAAATACGTGGACTGCATAACATCAGCGGGTAGTTATCATATCTGAAAAGTTCTGTTAAAATTGGCCGCATAGTCTTGGAGTTGTCTGAACAAGTATTTTTTTTTTTATAAAAGAGCCATTACTTCATAGAAAAAGGTCAGAATGAAAAAATAATACCTGGATGCAGATCATCATGTGGTAGTTATCATATCTGAAAACCTTCATTGAAATCTACCCAGTAGTTTTGAAGAAATTGTGCAGGGAAGCATTTTTCAACAAAGGGCAATAACTCTGCAAAAGGGTCAGAATGAAAAAAATAATACCTGGATGCAGAACATCCGGTGGTAGTTATCATATCTGAAAACTTTTGTTGAAATTGGCCCTGTAGTTTTGGAGGAGTTGTCCGGACAAAAAGTTTTTTTTTTTTTCAACAAAGGGCCATAACTTCGAAAGAAAGTTTCGTTGAAGTTGGTCTATTACTTTGGAAGGAGGACAGACAGACAAACTGATTCCAGTATACCCCCCTCTAACTTCGTTGTGGGGGGTTTAAAAACAAAGGACATTCTTACAATGGTGTATTATATACAAAACAAAAGACAATCTATACAATACTCAATTTTTATTATTTTATCCTTGAGATTTCCACAGAAGACACATAACCTAACTGCACACAAGGCTGAAGAGTATTTTTGCCAGACAATTTGACCTGCCATGAGGGGAATGTTGACATGTTTCCAGAACAACAACCAGTGTTTCATACCTCACACTGCATCAAATACACAAGAATCTACGTCCATATAAACCTGTAGAGCCAAGCAGCAGCAAATCAATCTTTTCAACAGAACAAAATGTTCAAAAAGAAGAGATGGCACATGATCATAAATAAAAATTTGCTGAGTTGTAATATAGCTCTTTGGGAAATCAGGAATGTCTACCTATCATTAGAAAAACGTTTAAGTAACATAAACCAATGGAAAAAAGTATTCTGGTAAAATTATGCTCTCAACCATGTTTTGTGCAGAAGTATGTCCCTACACCTGCCAAACTTCAACACGTGGCTTGGTAGGTCATTTAACTAACACTAAAACAACTTAAATGCATTATCCGATGGTAGCAAACTGTTCACAATATTAAAACATGGTAGACTAAGCACATCAATCAGATCATTACAGGTAGTACAGGAAACATCACCACAATACGGGCACTCGTCCGCTATATACATACAACCAATCTTGTGGCTATATGGATGACCCGAGTTGGGAATTAGTGGCAAAATGCTTCTAATGTCTCTAGCCAAGCCATCACAAGTATTGTTTGTGGACTATACAAATGGGTATAAATGGTGTGATCAAATTTCACAAAGAAAAGAACATAATTATTTCACACAATAATTTCACAAAATTTGACCACACAGAGCAAACAGATTAAAAAGGGAAATAATGTACAATGCTTATTATTTTCTTGGGATCGTGAATTTTTCTCAAAATAATTAATTTGCAAGTGCATTAATAAACTTTTGTTCATTCAAAGAATTTCACTCTTTTGTACAAAATCATTTGTTAAACATGATATTCATTTAATGTGAACATTTGTCACAGCTCCAGGATTTCCTGGTCTAACAGACAAGCAAATAACACTGCCAAGGTAGACTACAGCACTAGGCTCTCACAGTCAACCCGATAACTACAGACAGGAAGGAGGTACACTGTTAACTGTTATAGTGGGTTGTGTGGACTTTTTTATGGATGTGATTAAAGAAGAGTGGTAGGTAATATGTGGCCATTTTTCAGGACTTTTTAAGCTGCACTTGAAATGTGTTTTTTTTTTTCAATGTATATATAAATGACCTGGCAGATGAGTGTGATATTGGATGGTCCATGCCCCCTGCATGAGGGAGGGCCACTTCCCCAGTCGTTCCCCCTGCCTGTGGGTGGGCTTCATCCTAACCATGCCCCCTGCCTGTGGGTGGGCTTCATCCTAACCATGCCCCCTGCCTGCTCTACCAATCTCCAGGTCTGCATAGATTTCTACAAATACCAACAGCTGCTTGTCTACAATACTTAGCAAGCATCAATACAGTATTTAAAATGAACAAGAGGCCCATGGGCCTTAACGGTCACCTGAGTCTATAGTATTTATTTTTGTTGTTGAAATATGTACCAATTTGAGTAAAAAATAGTATAATGTTAACTTAACTTTGTCAGGACCATGAGCTGATCATTCCTAGACCAATTTTAAGTGAGATCGGCCTATTAGAACTTAGTAGCAAAATAGCGGCCATGGCAGCCAAATTGTATTTCTGATTGACCCGAAAAATAACAACACTTTGTCAGGACCATGATTCGATCATTCCTACAAAGTTTCAGTTCAATCGGCCAAGTAGATCTTTACTTTAAGTTTGAAATAGTTTTTCAAAATGGCAGCCGTGGTGGCCATATTGGATT